ATTTCTTTCGAATAGAGTAATCCAATCCCCCAGCGGCCATTTCGACTAACTCATGCTCAGGCACTACTGTGTAACATCTAGATTTTAACAGCCTAAATCTATTCAAATAGTCATCAATGGGTTCAGTGAACTTTCTCTTAACACTGGCCAATTCCTTCAAACTTATTTTCGATTGTCCCATGTAAAATTGTTCATGGAATAATCTCTCTAACAGGGCCCAAGTGTCAACAGACCCAGGAGGCAACGTGGTAAACCAAGTGAAGGCATTTTTTGTCAAGGAACTTGGGAAATATTTGATTCTAAGATCTTCGTTATTGGCTATATCCCCCGCTTCGGTTAAATATCTCGCTATGTGTTCGACTGTTGACTCGTTGGTATCCCCAGCGAACTTTGTAAATTTAGGGACTTTGTATCCCCTTGGTAAATCAGTATGCATTATACAATCTAATATAGGAGAAGCGTAATTTGGCCTCCTCATTCCCATATTGAGGCCGTTTTGGGTCATGATTCTCTCTATCATGGTGGTCAGATTATTTTCTGCCAAAATGTTATCGTTTCGAATCCTATGAACGACGGCATCGGCATCTTGGTTTCGACCAACCAAAACAACTCCCCTAGGTTGTTCTCCTCGAAATTCTGGGGCTTCTGGTCTTTCGATCCTTGCCCCTGGTTCCATAACTTCCCTTTGTGGGCCCGGAATTATTGGGGCTTCTAACCTTGGTGCTCTGGCCCCTAAGTTAACCTCTTCTCTGGGTGGTCTATGAATTGGGTCGTTGGCGATTTGTTCTATAACAGGCACGTTTGTTCGAAATCCCGCCTGGTTCTGCCTACGCCTTTCTGTGGGAGCAAAGAAATCTGCTATTCGACTCATATTGTCAGCGTTTTCCCTGTTCGTCACAGTCACATTCTGAACTATTGGGGCGAATATTTCCTGCATGGTTTGCGCTAACACCCCTATCATATTGTGGTTGCTGTCATCCATCAATTGCCTAAAAGCCAACTGGTTATCTGTGGTTAGGATAGGCAATGTGCTATAACCCACTGACCCTTGGTTATTTGACATAAATTGGTTTGCCCCAGACCCAGATCCTAGTTGTGGGGATGAATTCGATGTGGAATTGTGTAAACCTGCCATAAAAGATGTTGGCATTCCGTAAGAAGAACTTCTAATTCTATTCCCATCGAAGCCAGGTGGTCTGGTTGATGGAGTGGCGAAATGGGATTGTGTCCCAGGTGGCGGAACGAATCCCCCAGGGTAGCCCATAGTTCCAGTATTTCCTAAGATCGAACTGTTGGTTGATATGCCACTTACTCCGTTGGTGGCCATGTTACTGGTTGAAGATGCAACAGCCTGTGCATTCGAAGGGATTACATTAGATGCTCCGCTCGAAATGGACGCGTTAGTGCCTGTTGCCTGTGGGCCACCTTGGTCTCCCTGTTGATTGTCTGAATTAGACATTTTGTCCAAACGTTTTCTTCTGGATAAAGGTTGGTTGCTGTTGGTTATCTTACCACTTCTCAGGTTCATAAAACAGCAAACTTCTTAGGTTCCTACGTTTCTGGGATGGCTATGTCTCGACAATCCTTAATTCTGATATCCAACTATTGGTCCCACCAGGTGTGCCAATTTGTTTCCAGTGATTTCTGGTAAACAACCGCTAGTCTTCCAAACTATCGAATAATCTTTATTAACGCTACTCAATCTCTTTGGTAACTCACAGGATCGACTAGATTGATCCTAGGACTCCTTGGATATTAAGGTTACTCTCACAATCGAACAATTATTCATGGGTGCTATTGTACAAATGTTTGGTTTATTTCGATCCCTCTCTCTAAGAGTTTAAGAATGTGGTCAAAATGTATGTGAAAACTAAGTTATACGAATAATTGCTAATTGTAATGCTGATTGAAAAGACATATAAAACTGTATGGAAAATGAAGTAACTGGTTTCGACCCATAAAACATTTAACACAAAAGGTTTCTGGAATGTGGAAGTTTAAAATGTGAAGAAAGCGTTTAATGCAAGAAATCTAGAATTAACTTTAAGTGAAAGTACATGTTTGAAGAATAATACTTGAAAGTAAAGGTATTGAAAGCGTAAAAGTTCTCTGAAATATAGAGTGCTCGAAATATAAAGAAAGCAGTAAAATGTAAAACTTTGAAGAAAAGACTTTGAAATGAAAAGACAGTAGATAAAGAAACTTGCAAATGTTATTCGACAGAAAGAAAAAGAAGGAAAGTGCTGGAAATGGTAAAAAGGCTTTTATTAAATTAGAAATACATGGTGCTATCATACATACATTTCTCTTGCATTCGTTTCCCTTGCCATGTGGTAGTTTGAATGTTATTGAGTATTTTGTATAACAGATATGACACACTGAAATCCTAACACTAAGACTTCTATTTATACTAATTCGACCCTAACGGTCTCGCTACAAGATCATGCCACGTTTCGAACATGCAAGACAATGCTCCTTTCATCTTTCCACGTGTCCCCAAATGCTCCAACACATAACTTTCAAACTTTGAAAGTCCCGCTTTCATTTAAATTTTAAATGCTTTGGTGTTTCTCTGTTTCGAACGCTCTTCTCAGATCTAGCTTCGCTGCTGTTTCGAGACCCCTTTGGATACGCTCCCATGATCACCGTTCGAAACTTCAAGCTTTGACACACTCATTCGAAACACTGCTTCTGCAATTTCGAAGCGTGGTGTTTTAATTCCATTTCGATCAGAACTTCTAGCTCTTTTTGAATTCTAAATAACACTATCAAAATCTTCAGCCAACACAAGGATAGTTGACTTTGGTCATTTCACAAAAATTTCCCAACTTCTCCAATGCATATCTTGCTCAATTTTGATCATATGAACATGTTCTTGGACATTTTGGAAAGGTGTTGAAGTCCTCTAACCAATTCCTTTGGTCCCATGTCATTTGGATTTACCAATCTCAAGTTATGGTCTTTGACTTGAAATGTCTTTTTGTTGACTTTTGAAAATGACCTATAATGTTGAAATTGATAACTTTTTGTGAGAGCATTTCTTGGATTTGGAATGTGAATATGAGTTGTAGGAAATGTCCTCCCCTTCAAAATGAGCATTGGATGGGATTTTTCTGATGAACCATGAAAACTTTATGCCCTGGTCAAGTTACAGTTGACTTTTCAGCTGTCCAAAAATAGAAACTTTTGACACCTTGATGATTTCTGAGCCATTCTTGTGAAATCATGATCAAAACTTGATCAAATGATGATTGTGGCTTCAAAATAAGATGTTGACCAAATTTTTTGACTTTTGACTGCCAAATGACCATTTTGCCCCTATAGTTGATTGTGAAGTAATTAGGGTTTTTGACTGTGCAACTTGACCTTGTGAGCCTTGAAACTTGACATGTATGTTCTTGACAATGTATACAAGCATATGGGAATTGATTGAGCCCTTGAAAACCTCAACTTCCTTGCAAGAACCAAAACCCTAATTTGACTGGCTTAGGAGGATGGTTGACTGTGTAGCCCTTGAGTAGACTTTGAACCATTTGAGGTGATGCTTGTCAAAACTTTGAAGAATATGGGAGGGCAAATTTTGGGGTACAACACATAGCTAGAAGGATGATGAACAGAAAAGGAAAGCAGGATGTTGCTAAAAGCCTCTCCAAAGAGAAGACTGCTGATGTTGTTCATAAGAAAACTAGGTCTGAGAACAAGACTGGAGTAGAAACTGCGAAGACTGGATTGTCAAAAGGGAAGGTGAAAACTCGAGTACCTGCTGGTAGTCTCTCAAAGCCTGTGAGACAACCAATAGCAAAGAAAATGAAAGAGCCTGGACCCTCTAAATCTAATGAGGAATCAGAATTTGATTTTAATGTTGAAGACATTCCTCTCAAAAGGAAACTCTCCTCAAGCAAAATGCCTAAAGTCCCTGAAGTCCTTACTGACAACATTTCCTTTCACCATCCGGAGAATGCAAACAGGTGGAAGTATGTATGTTTGAAAAGGATAGCCTTGGAAAGAGAACTGAACAACAGTGCCATGGAATGTAAGGAGATCATGGATCTAATCAAAACTGTTGGTCTAATAAATATTGTGGTAAAGTTTACCAACTGCTATGAAGTTCTTGTCAAAGAATTCATAGTGAATTTATCTGATGGGTGTGCTGATGGAAAGTCAGCTGATTTTAAATGTGTATATGTGAGAGGAAGGAAGGTAAATTTCTCTCCCTCTGAAATAAACAAATTCCTAGGAAGACCAGATGATGCTTGCCCTGAGCTAGAGGTTACTGACAACCAAGTGTGCCAAACCATCACTGCAAATCAAGTCAAGAGACGGCCCTTAAAAGGGAAGCTGAATGCAAGCAAGCTGAGCATGAAATTTGCCATTCTGCACAAAATTAGTGTAGCTAACTGGGTTCCCACCAACCATAAATCACCCATCTCCATAGGCTTGGGAAGATTCATTTATGCTGTTGGAACCAGGAAAAACTTTGACTATGGCAAGTATATCTTTGATCAAACATTAAAACATGCTGGAAGCTATGCTATTAAAGGCCCTATTGCCTTTCCCTCTCTCCTATGTGGTATAGTCCTTGCTCAGTATCCTGACATTCTAGTTGAAAAAGATACTGTATGCAAAAGAGCCCCTGCTCTTGGGTTGCATTATAAGCTATTTCAGGGAACACATGTTCCTGACATTATCATGACATCAGCTGAGACATCAACTGTCAAGTCTCGTTCTACGAAAACTGATGTTATAGTTATGCTGAAGCAAACCTGCAAAGAGCTTGATACAAGGAAAAGGACTCTTGAGGACCTGATTGTTACACACTGAACTGGGTAAACAATTGACTGTGTTCTTTACTGCTTTTAGATTTACTGTCTTGAAGAAAGTCAGATACGATGTCATAACATTCACTGTGACATTAAGTATCTGCTGCTAGAATTTCACTATGCACAAATATTTACTAACTTATATTTAATTATCATCTTCTCCTTTTGTGGGCGATTTTCATGACTCGTTCTGAAACCAAGCTGCTGCTGCAGCTATTCAATTATGCAAATCACACTTCAAAATCAATGGTATGTGCTCATGAATCATTTATATTTTTCGTTATTTTTGTTTTGAATTCAAATGAATTAAACTAAATAACACTTCAAAATCAATGGTATGTGCTCATGAATCATTTATATTTTTCGTTATTTTTGTTTTGAATTCAAAGGAATTAAACTGAATAGAATAATTTTCTGAATGCAGAAGTCAGGTGTTATTGACGGCGCATTAGGGTTTCTTAATGCAGTAAAAGTTGCATTTCAAAATAACATTCAAAAGTATGATCAGTTTTTAAAAGTCCTAAGAGATTTCAGTGCTAAAAGAATTTATATAAGTCGTGTCAAATCAAAATTGAAGATGTTGTTTAAAGGGCATAAATATTTAATTCTGGAATTCAACTCTTTCGTGCCGAAGAAACATCAAATCAAACTACTTTCATTAGATAATGGTGAACTTGCTGAACTTCCTTGGGATGTGCTTGATATCATTTGCGAAAAACTAGATTTTGACGACCTCTTTTCGTTTCCTGGTGTTTGCAAGAACTGGTGGACTTTCCATAAATCAAATTTCTTGTCATCCCAAGAACCATTGCTTGTTCGTTTGACTGGTTATCATACCCACTCATATTCCTTTATTAGCATACACAATAAAAAAGTTTATGATTTGAAGATGATGAATTGCTTCCAGCACCCCAAATGTGTCTATGTTGGAGTTTCCAGCGGATTTTTCATCTTCGCCCGTGAAAATAATTCATTTGTGCTATTCAATCCATTTAGAAGAAAAGAATTGGTAATCCATGCTACTTTTACGGTTAATCATATGACAATTTATCAGTACCAAGCCTTGCTTGCTTTTGAGAAATGCTCCGAGGAATATGTCTTGGTTCTTTTATGCAAAGAGTCTAGCCGTTTGTATGCCTATCAATCTCGATACTCTCGTTAGTGTATTTATTCAACATTAAAACCGGAGGAGGTGGTAGTTGACTTTGTGGTTTTGAACAATATAATATATGTTGTCACTAAAAATGCCAACATAGGGGTACTAAACTTGAATTCTCGAAATATTAAATTTCTAAACCTCAAGAATACTCCCGACAAACTTCCCTAAAAAATATCCTTTAATTTGGCTAATTGTGATGACCAACTTCTACTGATTCATTTACGATCCTGGTACTCAAGAAGGGAAGTTTACAAGATAGACCTGTCAACCATGAATTATGTTAAGATGAAAAGTTTGGGTGACATTGCATTGTTTTATGTTTCTCGTAAAAACTGTCGGGCATTGAGCAATCCTGAGAGATTTGGGTATCGGAGCAATTACGTGTATGAAGTAAATTGTTTTTCCAAATGTGGTATGTATGATTGGAACGATCATAGATTAAGTTATTATAAGCGTTCTGTTGGAGACTTCAATTTTGATTGGTGTTTTAGACATTTCGTATGTCAAGGTTCTGTTAGAAGCGACTTCAATTTATTTGATTGGTGTTTTACACATTTAAAATATCAAGTTGATTATTCTTTAGTTGAATAATTGTTACTTGGTATGCTTTTCCTTGGTTTCTTTTTGGCTTGGCTTGAGTTGAAAAAACTTGTAATGTTTTGGTGCTTTTTAGTTGCTATGATTCAGCTTCATTTATAACTTGTCCTTCTTCAGGAGATAAACATCTCAATCCACCATGCAATTCTTCCCTTGCATCATCTATTTGCACTGCTATTTGAAATATGAATGTGATGTGAAACTCACGTACAACAATATCAATCTTTCAATGATTATGTTGTAAACAATTATAATAATTTGTGATATGAAATAGTATACAGCAACCATACACTTTACCTTCATCCTTCATGTCTTTAATATTTTATTTTATTTTTGGTTCAATATTGTATACAAATTCGCATGCTACATAATAAACTAGTACAATAAATATGCTAACAATATAGATTATATTTCTATTTATACATCTATGACAATATAGATTATATTCTATTTATACATCTATGATAACAATTAGACCAAGATGCTACTAATTGATAATAATCATGATGGAAACAAGCTCATTTTTAGGTATTTTTAGGAGTACCACCTGGTATGATTCAGAAGAAATCTGGGATGAGTGAGAAGGTTTTTAAAATCCATTTCTACTTTGTGGAAGGGAATCTCTCGTCTTTCTACATACTTCAGTGCGAGTTTTGATTAGTTTATTGAGAGTTTATCAAAAAAAGTGTGAAGATATTGAGAATTCTAAACCCATACTTTATTTACAAAATGCCTTAAATCACTCACCTTCAAAGTACACTAGTTAGTCGAAAACATGTAAAGTTTGTGTAATAGCGCATAAAATGGAGTGATTCAATATCACAAATATAGACCAAACACGTATTTACAAAAAAATACAAAGACTCACTAAATTACAAACTAACAACTAAATATTTAAAAAGCAATAAATTTTCAAATAAGGAGAATCATCTCCTTAAAAATAGCACATAAGGTCTAATAGAGTTTATTTGAAACAATCTAAATATTTTTTTTCTTACAAGCTAAAGGGAAAAATCTTAGGAGCATTTCATTATACATGATTTATGTTTTTTTCAATAAAAATATGATAAGTGTATAATTTCATCTTACATATATGCAAATTCTTCCTATTTTTACTCTTTAAAAGATATTTAAGTATATTTTTTATATTTTTATTGGAGAAAAGTATAAATTATATCTAAGTATTCACTGATTTTAAAAACCTTAATTTTGATCTTCTCCATTAATATTAAATCTTAATCTTCTCTAAATCAAATATAATGAAATCTTTTCCAAATAAGTTAAACTAATAAAATATTTACCAAAACAATTCAGGTTCTGATTAAAAGTTATATAATCTGTATTTTTTAATAAAATAAATAAATCAATTTTTATAACAATTAAAAAAAACCATTTTGATAGCAAGGATTCATTCTCTATCTTCATCGGTGAACCAATAAAATCATAAAACAATCCATTGTACCTCTCTTTATCGAGATTTCATCCTTACACTCCCAATTTTTACATGACATTCCCACATTTTTAAAATAACAAATTTAATCTTATGAATTTTCACATTGTGTAAAATAAAAAAATCTGGTACAAATTTTTTGCAAGACTTTTTATGCATTATTATCAACCCGATATGAAGTTTTACAGGATATTTGGAAAAACCCATAAACCTCTTGAAGTTATATCGTAACTTTTGTAAGGATTTGGAAATATTTTGCAATTTTACAGGATATTTCGCAAAACTCTTAAAACATTTTTCTATTTTACCGAACATTTAGCAAAAATCCTGAAACATTTTGCAATTTCATCGGACATTTAGCAAAAATCTTGAAACCTTTACCATTTGTTGTACCCCAAAATTTGCCCTCGCATTTTTCCACAAGCAATCTCAGCTTCAGACATTTCCTGATTTTTCAAGCTGGCTCAAGAATCGGACAAACGGACTTTTCTTGTCAGTCAAACGAAATTAGGGTTTTTACTGATTTTCAGGGCTCTGGATTGTTTCATACAGTTGGCTTAGGGTTTTGGTTGATTTTGGCACAATTTTGATCAGACGAATGTTATTTGGCATTTAATCAGGAATTAAGGTTTTATGGACACATTCTCAGAAGGATTTAAATTCCACAGCACTTTGCCGTTTATTCCGAGATTGGGTTTAAATTCACATTTGTTTTGATTTAATCAGTGAAAGAGACAGTGGGTTTGAATTCATGTTGTTTTCTTTGAGCCAGTCAAATACAGTATGCAGTATTGGATTCACAGTGTTTATGGCAAATCAGTGAAGAAGGAATGCGCTTGATCAGTTTATTTTGGTTGACTGCTGCTTTGCTTTGGATATTGGAAGAGACAGGTTTAATTGATCAATATTGTTTTTATTTAAGTTATTTATTATTCTAAAATTGAATGATTGAAATTTATTTTTCAATTGTTTTAATTCAAAGAGTTTTAAATAAATAAATAAACAATAAAGAATTGAAAAGAATTAAAAGTCAATGGAATTTTTATTTCATATTTAATAGTTGTTACAATTGTTATTATTTGGATACGAGTATTTATTACAAAGTATTTAAAATAATAATAAGTGTACAAAAAATTAAATTGAAAATAAAAATTCTATCCTATTCTTCATTCTTCACTTCGCTCCGGTGCTCCATTTTTTATCTGCAAAAAGAAAAGAGAAAAGTTAGAAAGCAGTTGAATTAAAAAAGACAGATAAAATTTGCTCATCATTAGGGGCCACTGACTGGGATCAGTTGACCCTCTCTGCAAATCACGGGATTTCTCCCGGTTCACAAAGAGGGAAGATTTTTATCATAAATGGAAAATGTCAAATGCATAAATTCCAAAGTTCAAACTGCATAGTTCAAATTCAAACTAAAATGAAAAAATCCAATTCCCACTTCCTATCAAATGCCAAAGTCTATCAAAAAGCAAAAAGAGCAATTTACTGTCAAAAGTACAAGTCTACTCAAGGCTGCCAATAAAAAAGATTTGACAAAGATTTTGGAAAGATATCAATAAAAGCACACAAAGCTGTCAAAAAGCAAGATAAAGATGCAGAAAATGTGTTATGCAAGCAAGACTTAATCATCATTTCCCAGGGGCCCTTCAGAAAGTACAGAAATAAACATTAAAAAATTCTTAAAGCTGTACTATGGAGAAGAAGAGAGAAAAGAAGCATAGGCAGGTTTTAGGCTTAGGCAGGTATACAAGAAAAGATATAATCCAAGAGAACACAGTTCAGAGGCAAGGGGAGAAAGGAGAGAAAAATATATACAAAACTCAGAACCTGCATCATCCTGAACAAGACACAAACTCAAAAAATTGCTAAGCCTCAACAGAACCACCATACTGTCCAACAACATAACCTACTGTAAGTTCAAGCCTGAACCTAAGTAGAATCCTGCTGAACCACAACCATAGCATCCTGTCAAGCCTTAACCATCAAAAACCTGATAAACAACTAAAAGCCAAGAAACCATATCAGTATACCAGCATCAACCTGCATTAAGCCAACCTGCTAGCACCAATACAACAAAATCATCCAAGACCTGAAACCTGCCTATTGCACCACCACTACAAGCATAACAGGCCATAACCTCATACCTGTCCAGAACCTCACACAACCTGCTGTCATAACCTCAAAAGCATTAGCCTAACCAAAACTCTGTCAAGGCATAACCTCACAAACCACAAACACATAAACTGAAACTGAACCAACATAACCCCTCAACCATACTGTCAAACATAATCCAACACAGGTAAAAGGCAACTCACAGAAGCAAACAAGCATCCATCTCAGAGGGCCAGCAACATATATTCCAACCAACTCCTAGGCCCTCAGACCTCTGAGATCATCACTGGGCAATAAGGCAGTCAAACAAGAAGCATATTCCAATCAACACATAGGCAACACGAGAGAAGAAGAAGAAAGAAGCTATTCAAGGGCCTCAGAAGCAAGCTTCGTCATAGGCAAGGAAGCATATTCAAAAGCATACAAATGCTCAAAGGCAACCAACATACAGTGGCAGTAGAACAGATAAAGAAGTGAATTAAAAAGGGTTCTCAGCATAAATCATCATCAAAACCCTAAGGAGCATCATAAAACCTAAGCAAGAGGGTTAATACAGAGGTACCAGGAAAGCTCAAAGAGCAAGCGTCGCGTTTCCTCCCCACCGGCCCTCCTGAGCGTCACGTCCTCCGCCTCTCCTCCATCTCCAAAGAACGAAGGTAGCCAATCTTCTCCCTCTTCTCTTCTCCTTCATCTCATAATGAAAGATAAAAGTTAAAACTCAAATCAAAACAACGCGTACAATTCATGAAAAGAAAAAGGGAACGCAAACATTAAAGCCGAACCTTGAATCACAAGACCACAGGGCTCATGTCAATGGAGGGAAGAAAGGCTTCGGGAGTGA